GCCCAGGCAGGTCTCGAACCCGTGGGCTCAGGCAATCCACTCACCTCAGCCTCCCAAGGCCAGGGATTACAGGCTGAGCCACCAAGCCCGGCTCCTCCCAGCCTTCGGAGTACAGATTAGGATCGGATCTCTTAGAAGTCAAGGACGGCTTTGGCCTCAAGAGTCTCCCAGGATGGAGAAATCATCACGTGTAGGGCAGGCTGGTGTGTGTGTATGAGTAAAAAGGTTTAAGCTGCCTTTTACATACTCATAAATACATATCCGTGTTAGAACTCAGCAACCATGCACATGGGGTAAAAAGAAACAGAGATGGTTGCAGAAAGAGGAGAGCCATCAATAATACCCAAATGAGCTGGTTAATGTTTCCTGTGTTTCCATCAAGAACTTTATGTCTGAGCAGAGCAGAAGATCGGAATTTGTTGCCGGATTTGTTTCAGTGCCTCTCGGTTGGAAGCATGATAGAAGATTAGAAAAATCAATTGTCTGGATAGGGGCTCAAATAGTTTTTAAAAAAAATAAATTGGTTCCTGTAAATGGGCCTGATTTTAAACTGTTTAGATAAAGAAAACTGTCATAGTTCAGAATTAGACATGAGCTTCAGTCTTCTTAAGAGCCCCTTTAAAGAAGAGTGTCTTTAAGATTTGAAAGAATTTCATCCAGGCTACTTCTGAAAGATTTACCGTCTGGTGCCAGGTGGATATGGCTTAGAAAGAAATAGCATGCTTGTGACAGATCCAGGAGTATGGCTTCAGTGCAGGTTAATTCGAGGCCTGCAGAATTAGTCATCCTACTAAAATAAACACGGCAGCCTTCTCCTCAGGACTTCATACATGTGTCCATATTTGGTAACGGGCCTGTTGCAAACACGCTGGCCTACCTGCCGGGAGCTACGTGGGCTGTCTCTGCGCTGAAGCGTGGGCACCAAAGATGAACATCTGTACTAATGTATCTTCAAGAAAGGTTACTAGCGATGTGGCTACATTTGACGTATAAGAAGCCCAATAAAACAGCGCATGCAGATATTTTCCTCTTATGCCTCTCAGGGAAAACCCTCACTTGGATCATGTTTTGGACTAGTGTTAGGGCAAGTTTCCGAGCTGCTTAAGGAGATGTATTGACTCTACAGATGATCGTATTCCCATATTCAAGTTAAGACACATATATTTGTCGGTTGAGCTCAATCCTTCCTCCGTCCGTCCCTTCCTTCCTTCCTTCCTTCCTGAGACAGGGGTCTCACTCTGTTGCTCAGGTTGGAGTGCAGCGGTGCAATCACAGCTTACTGCAGCCTTGACTTCTTGGACTCAAGACTCCCTCTTCAGTTTCCTGAGTAGCTGGGACTACAGGCATGTGCCATCTCATGTGGCTAATTTTTCTTTTCTTTAGAACTGGGGTCTTGCTATGTTGTCTGGCTGGTCTTAGAACTCCTGGCCTCAAGCAGTTCTCCTGCCTTGGCCTCCCAAAGTGCTGGGATTCCAGGTGTGAGCCACTGTACCTAACTGAGATTTTTTAAATTTTCAGAAAATTCCACTGTGCTGGATCCCAATGCTACTCAAAGTTGGTTGATGGACAAAGGAAAGTTGAGCTTCGAATGACCGGGCAATAAATTAAAGTTCTTTCTTTCTTTCGGTTCTCACTCTGCTGCTCAGGCTAGAGTCCAGTGGCAAGATCACAGCTCAGTTGCAGCCTTGACCTCCTGGGCTCAGGTGATCCTTCTACCTCGGCCTCCTGAGTAGCTAGGACTACAGGTGCATGCCACCACGCTCAGCTAATTTTTTGATTGCTTTGTAGAGACAAGGTCTCACTCTGTTGTCCAGGCTGGTCTTTGAACTCCTAGGCTCAAGCAATCCTTCTGCCTCAGCCTCCCAAAGTACTGGCTGACAGACATGAGGTGCTGTGCCTGGTCGTAAATTAGGGTCTTTGATGTATATTTTCTAATATGTATTTTATGTGCTTGTATAAGATGCCTGTGGGGGTAGGAACAGCACAGAAGAAAAGGAAAACGGGAAGAAAGGAGAGAGGAACAAAGATAAGCAAACATGCAAAAACAAAACAAAAGCACACTGGAAAAAGCAGAAATTGAGGACAGAAGAGGTGTCTCTTTAGTCCATATTCTAAAAGCTACTAGGTCAGTTGGGCCGAATTTTCCAAATCTTGTTCATTGATGATGCCGTTCACTACCACAAGGAATCAGTCCATCTCCAGCAAGGTGGCAGGATGGACAAATGGCTTGTGGAAGGAAGACAGGCAGAGTGCATAACTCCTGGTCCTGCTAGGAACTCCTTGGCCGCAGGAAATGGGCAAGTCATCCTGAGACACCGGGGATAGGGGAGAGGATACAGGTAGACCGTCTTGGAAAGCTGGAATAGCAACATCATAGCCACAGTCACCAGCCTCTTTGCGAATTGCCAAGAGTCGGTCCAGCTACTGGTGTTTAGAGATAAAGTCTCCCAGGAAAGGGGGAACCCAACGGTTGCTATGGCAACCGGAGAGGAGGCCTGGTCCCCTTACCTGTCCCCATAGTAACTAAGCTCCTGGAGGGTGATGGAGGAATTAGTTATCCTAACACACTACTGTTATCCCCATGGTAACCGATCTCTCACCGGGAGAGGTCAGTCTCAGGAGACCATCGCAGGAAAACCTCTGCTCCCTAGAGAAAGGGTGGGCAGGGGGCAGGGAGGCCAACGTCCCTTCCAGGCCTCCCAGGAGCAGACTCTTGGAGGTAGCCGGCCTCTTGGGGATGCGTGTGCGTGTGCGTGTCTGGGGACGCGTGTGCTTCCTGGCCTGGGAGCAAGGCTTAGATGGTTGGTTGCCAACTCACTCATGGGTTGCAGAGGCCGGTGCAGCTGGGAGGGGCGCCCCTTCCGGCTACACATTACCATTCTGGTGCAGGGTGCGCCGGCGCTGGCTGGACTGCATGCTCAGGACCAGGTACTGCCTCATAAACTCACTGAACCGCTTCTGGTTGGCCAACTTCCGGGCTGACTTCCGGGCCCCCGTGAAGCCCCCAAACCTCTTCTGCAGCTGCTTCTGCTCGGTGTCACCAGCCCCCTCCACACCAGGCCCAGCCTCTTCGGGCGCTTGGGACAGGCTCCGGACGCGGGGCATCCGCTTCAGGTGCTGCATCTCGGTGGCTCTTGGCTGGTACCGGGCAGCCGCCACGTGCTCGGGGTCTGCGGGGCTGAGCTGCCAGGAGCCCCTGGCCGTGACCTTGGAGCACGGAGTCCAGAGGGGGCTGGGGAAGACCTTCTCTTCACACTCGAGGACGCACACCTGCAGAGACACAGGTGAGAGGAAGGGAAGGCAACAAGGACCTCTCTGAGTCCAAGGCAAGGGGAGATAAGGCCCTCTGTCATCTGTATTTGTACCAAGGCCAGTGCTTCTGAAGCATCCATTTGGCAAGGCCTGTGCAGTTTTGAAGGTTCATAACATTTCAGAGTTGGGGCCCAGGATGGTGGCTCAAGCCTGTCATCCCAGCACTTTGGGAGGCCGAGGCGAGAGGATTGCCCGAGCCCGAGGGTTCGAGATCAGCCTGGCAACTTGGTGAGACCTCGTCTCTACAATAAATCACACGAAAAAATTAGGTGGGCGTGGTGGGACACGTCTGTAGTTCCGGCTACTCGGAAGGCTGAGGCGGAAGGATCGCCGGAGCCCAGCAGGTGGAGGCAGCGGTGGCCATGAGCGTGCCACTGCACTCCCACCTGGGTGACAGAGTGAGACTCCAACTCCAAAAAAAAAAGTCAGAGTTGGAAAGAAACAGAGAATCAGAGAATCACCTGGCCCAGTTCCGTCATTTTACCAAGACACGGGTGCTCAGAGAGGTAAGGCTAACTTGCCCCAGGTGACACAACGAGTGAACACAGAATGAATGTGCCCCAGACTGAACCCTGTTATATCCTCAGTCGGGGTTTTGAAACCACTCACAGCTCATGACCATCACCCGTAAAGAAGGATTTTAATGTGTTGTCCTGCCAGGCTTATGGAAGGTCAGAGGGGTTAAAGAAATTGGGAATGTGGGAGGCCTGTACGATGTCCACTTGTATACCTAATCTTGATTTGGACCCATTTTTAAAATAAACAAATAAACAAACAAACAAACAAAAATTGAAAATGTGGAAGTATTACTATGTAGTCAAATCTGTGTGTAAAGATCAACCCTGGTGTTAATTTTTCATCCTACATACAACAGTCATCCCTGTTTTTTTATTTCCAGTCAGGGTCCCATTCTGTCACCCAAGCTGGAGTACAGTAGCATGATCATGGCTCCTAGCAGCCACCTTGACCTCCTGTGCTCAGGCGATCCTCCCGCCTCAGCCTCCCATGTCGCTGGGACTACAGGTGCGTGCCACCACACCCAACTACTTTTTTGATTTTTTTTGTAGAGGCGAGGTCTTCAGCTGCTGCCCATGCGGCGCTTTTGTTGCTAGCAGGTGAATTCAATTCTTGTCCGAGACACTTTCCCCACCTGAAGTCTGCCATGCTACGTGGTCTCTCGGTCTTCGTCTCTGTATCTGATCTCTTATTCTCACTTGACTCAGGCTTCCCACCCTGGGCATATCGCATGTCCCTTCTCACTCCCATCCCGTCAGTCTGTAGGTCCCCCCTCCTTTCCCCTCCCTGCGCCCCTGCCCGCGTGCCCCTTGGTGTGCAGCGGGTCCCTGACGGATCTCTGCACCTCTGGCCTTTGCCATTCTAATCCTTGTGGTACCCTCGGCTGGATACTCTTCCTAAAGTATGACCAGTCACGTCATGATGTTGCCCACAGCTGTCTAATATTCTGTCATGTCCATGAAATAGCTCCAGACTCCTGAATAGAGCATTCGAATCTCTCCTCCATCTGGTCCAGCCCACAGTGCAGGTCTTATTTCAATTCCTCCTCACACACACCCCCTTTAGACCCATGAGGCTGTTCCTAGAGCCTCAACATTCCACACCTCCCACCTCTGTCCTCACTCTGTCCCCAGGATGCGATGACTCCTTCCATCCTTCCATCCGTCCTTGAGACCCAGCCAAGCTCCAGTGCCGCCCCTCCCTGATCCTGCACCTTCTTCTAGCTCCCCGGGAAGAATTGCTTTTTCCTGCCTGCCTGTGTCCCCACGGAATGTTGTATTGCTCTTGGAAACATTCGTGCTTAACATAATTAATTTGCAATGACTTCTAAGGCAGAGTATGACAAGTTGGGGACTGCATCTTACTCATGTTCAAATCCCTTGCGGGAATCTTCTCCATGTAGTAAATAGTAGGACTTCTTTCTTTTTTTTTTGAGTCGGACTCTCACTGTCATTCAGGCTGGATTGCAGTGGCATGCTCACGGCCATCGCAGCCTCAACCTGCTAGGCTCAGGCGGTCTTTCCGCCTCAGCCTTCCAAGCAGCTGGAACCATAGGCACGTGCCACCACACCCAGCTCATTTTTTGATTTATCGTATAGAGACGAGGTCTCGCCAAGTGGCGCAGACTGGTTCGAACCCCTGGGCTCTGGCAATCCTCTAGCCTCCACCTCCTAAAGTGCTGGGATGACAGGTGTGAGCCACTGTGCCCAGCCTAGATCAGGATTCTTCACCTTTTATGGGTCATGAACTCTTGTGAGAATCTAATGAAAGCTATGGACCCGCCCTTCCACTCTATAAACATACACTCATGTCAAATTTGCATACTCTCTTTGAGGGTTTGCAGCCTATCTGTGAACCTGGTGTCTGTGGACTCCAGGCTGAGGACCCCTTCACTTGGCTGGAAGCTGTCCTGCAGGAAAAGGCTGTATGCCGTCCAGGCATCTAATACCTGGGATACTGTGTAGCCCAACAGTGCAGATGTGAAATGGAGTGAGCCAGCAGGAGGAAGGAAGGACTTTGCTGCAGAAGTCACCCTCTGGCTACAGGGAGACCACCCCAGTGCTTCTGGTAAACCAGCAAAGCATTTCAAGGAATGCTAGTCCCAAGTGGGACCTCAGGTGACACCTGGTCCACCAGGTCCCACACCTGGGTGCGAGTTCAAGTCATCTACAGAACTCTTGAAAACATAGAATTCCAAGACTCACCTCTGAAGAACAGAACCAGGAACTAAAACTTATATTTACAAAGGAATTAAAAACAATTTTACCAAGGTCAGGTAATTCTGATATTTTCCAGTGGTTTGCAAATCACTAAAGTAGTTCAATCTTCACATGTTTTGACGAGATTTAGTAATGTGCCCCAAACAATATGATTAGATAACAGAATCACCCAAACAAGATCGGAAATATCTTGGGTCCCAACCCAGGACATCTCCTACTCAAGTACTTCTGGGTACTTGCCATACAAGTTGGTGGCAATTAATGCAGAATTCATCCTTATTCTGGATGGGCGTGGTGGCTCACGCCAATAATCTCAGCACTTTGGGAGGCTGAGGTAGGAGGAGTGTTTGAACAGGAGTTTGAGCCCAGCCTAGGAAACATACTGAGATTTCATCTCTACAAAAAAAAAAAAAAAAAAAAGCCAACGATGATGGTGTACACCTGTAGTCCCAGATACCTGGGAGGCTAAGGTGGAAGGATTGCCTGAGCCCAAGAGGTTGAGGCTGTGATGAGCCATGATGGAGCCACTGCACCCCAACCTGAGTGATAGAGTGAGAGCCTGACTCAAAAAAAAAAAGGAATTCTATGAGACCGGCAGCAAAGGTTCTGATGGGAATTGACCATTTTCCCACAGACTAGAGAGGAGGGAGGGGTCATGTTCAGCAGGAGTGCCCCTTGATAAGGTTTCTAAGAAGCAAACTGTCCAAGTCTACCTATTAGCCACGGGTAGTGATGTTGGCGCCTACTAATACTCAAGCCGCCATTTTTCTGAGCATGGCTTTTTCATTTAGCGTTTGCTCAGAGATGCTAAACAGATGGAACCTAGGTGCTGACAGAATGAACACAGCAGAGAGACGCAGAGAAACTGCTTTTCCACACCTTCAATGTCACTGGGCATGAAAAGTGATAGGCAGCTTCTAGAGAAGGAGAGGACTGACTTAAGGACCATGGAGTTGCAGACTTCTGGAGTGTTCCTGAAGAACAGCTACTGGGGATTGTTAGAGTACAAATTCCCCGCTTATACCCCTGGAGATCCTGATTCACTAAATTAGGGGCGGGGGACTGGAAATATACATTTTTAGCAAGCACCTGAGGCTGGACTACACTTGGAGGAATTCTGCTCTGGAGCTTCCTTGGAGGAGGAAGCCACTATGGAACATGGCGGTTAAGGCGTGTGGCATCTACAGACTGGGGGTATTAGTAAACATACTACAATGCACAGGACAGCCCCCCAAAATAAATAATTACCCAGCCTCAAATGCCCATAGTGGCGAGCTTGAGAAACTTTACAAATCAGTGGGAAGGCAAAGAGGCATGGATAACACGGAGAAAAGCTCATAGTAGTTTTGGGAGCTGGAATTGACCACTGAGCACCCTTGGTCTAATCCTCACAGAAAAGGAGCCCCAAAATGTGTGTTGAATTGTTCTGCGTCTTCAGTTTACAGAAACAGGTGGAAGAGTTGTTGAACCTGCAGGCTATTCGATCTTCTGTGAGCCCTTGGGTTTCTAAGCCCAGATGGTAATTAGATTTTGCGTCAGTCAGAGAGAATGAAATTCTGTGATCAAACCAGATGCCACAATCCATACCCAGACTTGACGCGCTGTTAGATAAATTTAGACTAACAAAATCACCTCGACTCCTGATTGAGGGGAAGGTTCTGGGCAAATAGGAGGAATCGAAATTCACAACAGCATTTGCAACACCAGATGGGCATGGGAGCTTAATGCCTAGCCTTCCAGTCTGTGGTGGGGGGGGGGGATGGACCAACCTCTTTCCAGAGATGGGTTAATGGCTTATTAAGTGAGCTGGACACATTTTCGCAGCCTGCGCTGATGACATTGCTATATTAAGCCAGAGCGTGCGTGAGCATCTGGGGTCTCGGATTACTGCCAAATTGATCCACAGAGCCGGGCTTGTGGTAAAAGCGAGCAAATGGCCATTTGGATGTCTGGGATCAAAGATTAGGGTGCAAGGTAGAGAACAAACCCAGGAGCCCACTGGAGGGGAAGGAAAAAACTCACTGAGGCTGTCAGGTTTCTGCCACTGAAGAGTCCAGTCAATCCTAACCAAGGGACGCTCGGGAGCTATTTCCTTCAGGAGAGCCTGCTAGAATATCCGAGGGCTGACATTGGTGGGCCAGCTGGTGAACACCGCAGAAGAAAAACATATAAGGAACTTCTACAGTGAGTTACCTCCTAAGAGAACATTTCGTGAAGATAGAACTAGCAGAAGGTAGTTTCTTTTGCAATAGAGTCTTAGGAAGTTTTAGATAAATCTCCCCAGACTCTTTCTTGGGGGTTGGTTGCCTTATTCTTTTGTCTCTCCAACAGCTCAGCGAGTCTAGTTTTTTCTGTGTGATGATGGGGTAAGGACCATTCCCAATTAGGTGAAAGGCCAAAACATTGCGATAGGTTTGGGTGTGTGAATCATTCACCAAACAAAATTAAAGTCAGACAACAAGCCAGCTGTACTTGGACCATCTATCAGGAGTATGAATAAAAAGTTTCTTGATGAAGTCAAAGGATCCTGGGAGTAACTCAGGATTATGTAATTTGGTGGAGGGACCGGGGAAGTCACCCTTGCTGAAATATGAGTCCCCCATCATTCACAGAGAGGATCTTCTCAAGGGTTGCCAGATTTGGAAATGAGATGTGATTGCCTACATCTTAAAAACGTAAAAATAGCCGGGCTCGGTGGCTCAGCCTATAATCCCGCGCCTTTGGGAGGCTGAGGTGA